TGTGGAGCGTGACAACAAGGCCCTTTTGTATAGCCCTTGATAAGACAACACCATTCTCCTCAGATCTCGGATCGTAGGAATAGTCTTAGCAGAAGTTTAAGTTTTGTACAATTACGTAGTCGGACCACTTCCGGAAGCGATATTTTTCTGCGCTATGTTTAGGGAAGCGGAAAACAGAGCGTCTGCTCAGTTTTGATAGTTAGTCTGGAATCAAAATGACCTGATCATCTTGTTTTACTGGGTGAGGTGCACATTTCGTTACACGTTGCCATTGCAGTGCCAGTTCTATGATCACATTTCACATTAAAGGGCTTTCATTCGGATGTCTATATTCACGTTATGTTCCAAAGCTGAAAGCTATCGCTGGCGATCTTCAGTTTACCGACAATTCTAACGTGGCCTCCTGCAATGTCAGAATAAACAATAAACTGATCTCCTTCGTTTACTACATGCACAGGTGACACTATCTGACGGCGGAAGTGATGACAGACACTGCCTTGTGATAAACAGTAAAGGCGAGAGTACCACGAAACAAGACTAGTAATTGTTACCTGAAATGACAGTGGAGGCGGTGTAGAGATGATTAGAGTTCAGCAAATACTTCACATTTGATTGATCGGCTGCGAACCGCATACCAAGTTTCATTGGATGAAATTGCCACATATTACACTGCTCGGTGGGAATGTGTGGTTTACAGAAAATAGTCGCGCGGTGAATGTAGTCAATTTTGTTATCTCATCGCTTTCAGTTTGACAAAAAAAATCATCAGAATGTTGGAATATTTGGTTCAATTTAAAGTTAAATAGTCAGAACATTCATTAGGGTGCTTTCAACGCCACTAGGTAGGCACAGCGGAATTCGGTAATCAATTGTTCGTTTACGATCGTCCAAGTTCACTCTCGACAAAATACACATGGAACAGCGCATTTTATAAGCATTATAGGACACAAACCTATGAATCTCCACCGGTGAACCATTGCCTACAGTCCAGAGAAATCCACTGATACTATGAAAACGTGACGGAACGTGAATTATTTGTTCAACCAGTTTGTCGCTCAAAGTCATAGCGAATAATAAACTGCCCAGATTTTGCAAACTAAATGATGGACTAAAGCTCCTGATACCCCTGTTGTTGTTGAGTCATTACCGAGCATTCTACTGAAGTAGGTCACCATATTCCTCGAGGTCTAACACTGCGCTCACCATTTCTCACCGGTCGCGCCATCAGTTGGCGCGTGCAGAGTTTGCTACAGTACGATTGTGTGAAATCGCCTATAGGATCTAAAGCTCTTTCAGAACTCTTGCCATCAATCATTCAGAGCACTTGCTGGTATTAGCTGGTAGTGGTGTGATTATCAAATGAGTACTTGACAACTTCAATTGGTTGCCAAATTTGCATTGGTTTAACGTTCCTGCAGACATGTGTTCTATGCCAAATCTCAAGATGTCTAACCCAGATGGCGAAAGACAACTGAAATGAAATATGGAGGTTTCAAATGACTTGCGCGGTGTGAGTGAACGTTACCTAAAGGACCACCATATGGTCTTCTACTTTAGTAGAAAATAAGCAAAATGAGTTTGTGTTGTCGGCTTCTTGAGAGAGAGTGTGCTCAAACTTTAAACGAATGTTTCTGCAGAGGCCACTCACCTGAATTTTTGTCACAGAATACGGTAGAATCTTCCTATCTCTTAAGTCTGTTTTCTTCCGTCACATACTGCGTAAAGCAATGGTTGACAAACCATCGGCATCTTTGAACCAAGAATGCAAAAACTGAAATATCACCAAAGTAAATAAAATTGTATAAATCACTTATAAGGACCTTGTCTATGATGGAATTCCAACTTTCTTCTGTTTAGATTGGTGAGGTTAATAACGGAACACACCGAGCACTTGATATTCTCAAAATCAAGAAGAGTCTGTCAGATTCACACCTAGTTTTTATTGCTAAATGAACATGGTCAATTGAAACCTGTCACGTGTACGATGGGAATATGCCGGCGAAAAAGTCCCAAATGGTAGTTTGGTTTAGAAAATTTGATTCCGCGCTGGTCACGACTTCCGGCGATCTCGTTTATACTTGATATTGATTCTTCTACTAGTCCTCTGTTTACAAAGTAACGCAACGGTCGCAAAGCAACGGAATGTTGGCATGACAGTAATCCTAGATAATTACTAGTAAATCTTACCAATAAAAAGACTAATTAATTTCTCGTAACCTGCTTAGTGGACAATCAATAGTTGCGTTTCCTTAGTGTGCGAAGCGTTCGATCGATATGGTTTTCAAAGAGATGAGTACTCTTGTTTCGATTTTCATGTGTATTGTCCACTCACTGGAATTGAAAAACACGTTTGAGATTCTAACTAGGTTAGACGGTAAATTCATCCGGTGAATGTTTTCGATTTTTAACTCGGAAGCACAACAAGTATCACTTTATCAGCCATGAGAGGTCCTGTTTTTTAGAGCCCATTGTTATCTAGCGTGTTCACACCAGAAAGCCAACTTTCTTCTTCGCCTCGATTTTGTCTCATATCAGGGTTCTGAATGAATTCACCGAATAGGCGATTGGAGAAAAGTATTTTCGCGGATAGGTAGCTGTTATTTATCTCAAAACCACTTCAGCAGATAGCAACACAAAATCAGTCCACCCACTGGAGCGAACTGAGGCGATTTGTATCCAACTGCCGATTTTTGCAGTTGGTTAAACTGCCCGTGTTTGTTGATTGAGTGCAGTAAAATGCTAAAAAGCCTATAAATTCTGTATACTGACTTCGAACGCAGTGACAAACCACGGACCAAGTGATCCGAATATACTAATGCACTGTATATAAGCATCAAGTATCCATCGACTAAAGATAAGCCCTTTTTACCATAACTATTGCCCGAAAATTGGGTCTTGTAATCTTAAAATAACCTTATCACTTCAAGGGGCCACACATGTCATTTTCATGAGAAACGAATTCGCAAAACGTATAAATTAGTTAGTGGAGTTTTAAGGCACCAACCTTTAACTGGTGGATGTATTTTATCAAAGAATTTCACAATTCACTAGGTCCGAAAATTGGTTTATATCATATCTCTGATAAGAAATAATGTTGAATTTATCAAGAACACTCGTGTACGGTTGACCCATAAACCGCAATGCTCACCGTCTTATACATTTTAGTTTGTCGGTTAACTAGAATGAGGTTTCTTGTATGGATTCAGGTTTACCATGTCATGTATTGCACTTTAAATGGTAAATGGGATTAATTAAATGCTGCAACATCCACGAACTTCCCGAAATATTTTCTGTACGTTTTAATACCGCAAATAATAATATCACCAAAGGGTGTGGGCGGTAAGACACCATTCGTCCGGTTGCTGGACAAAAATAGATTACGGTGCAGCAAGTAATTGTTTTTACATCGCTAGCAAGCTACTGATATCTGATCACTGCATGCTCACAGATTCTGATAAATATCGAGCTGTCCCTATGGGCGTCTTCTGTACGTTTTCCCCATGCATTTTCTTTATTTACTGTAGGTTCAACAAAATTTACAACAAAGGATCTCTACACCACAGAGTAACACGCTCTCCGAAACGTCCGTGTTTTTTCCAAAGAAAATTTTTCAAACAGGAACCGATAACCATCCAATATCTACATTATAATCCTCATTAATTTTGTTGCCTGGAATGATATCCTTCCAATCGCCAGAGTACTTCGCCAATTCAGCCATGTTTGGGACTACTGGACGGTTTGGGATTTTGGAATTAAAAGAGCGAAGCAAAGCTAATTGTGCTGTTGTAAATAGGCTGAAACTTGCTGTTTAGTCTGCTTCCCCAACATTTGCCGACTTTTGTTTGAGCAAGCACGTTCTAAATCCGTTTCCACGAATGCATATTTCATCTTGTTGGATGGCTGCGTCCATATAGCGTTTAAACATTCGGGTTCCCTTGATGGAATCATGGGTATTTTTGGTATGGGGGCTCAATTTAGAGCCAAGGCGTAACCAATGTGTACCGTAAACCAACATTACGTGAGGCACCTGACCAGTTCGTATTTGTAATGTACAAAGTGCGTAATTATCGAGTTAATAAAGATGTGTCACATGTTTATAGTTTGGGATGAAGACTTTAGGCCGATGTCTTGGGTAAGATTTGTACGTCTACTGAAATTCATGTCAGGACGACTGAATAAGTAATATTTGAATGTCAACAAAACGCACCTTGAGAGCAGCCAGTCGGATGGGCTGGGCACAAGATCCTGAGTCCGGAACAGGAGCAAACGCAAAAAGTGTGTTGCACGGCCTCAAAGGTGCATGAATTCAGTAATCTCCCCGCTTTTGAAGAAAATCAGCTCATCCGGTTAAACTTTCGAGAATTTAGCAAGCTAACCTAGACGTCCGAGTGATCGGTCACAACGAAACAGAATGTATCCATCCATAAACCTTGGTCTATTTACAGATTTATTAGCACTGAAACCTTACATGGCGATAAGTACACATTCTTCCAGGGCAAGCTTATTGTATTGTCTTGGTTTGGGTGTCGACCAACATTCCATTGAGTTACATCACTAAGATCCACTTCGAATTCAACTAAAGACATTGTTTTATCGGCCTGTGCGCTAAACTAGAGACTGTGGGAATCATAGGTGAACAGATTTAAATCAGGTTGTCGTGTGATCATCCTCTGCGTTCGCAGCAATGGTTTTGTGCGTCAGAGCACCTAGGTTAGATGATGTACCACATTTGTGTGGGATCTTCGGGTCAACATTTGATTGGCCGCTCTGAAGTCTACACTTAATAAATACCGGGAACTTTTAGGAAGAATAACGTACGGCGTAGCGGCTTCTCTTGAATGCTTGCAGTTAACGTTGAAAGTAAATTGTCTTATCAGAAGAAGTGATGAATTTTGATATTAGGAACGTTACCATTCAGGGTGAAGCTTTTTACAATTAAACCTGCTTTGTGAGTACAAAATCTACTTTATTTGCACTCTTTATCTTCGTTCAAATTGCAGGCAGCGACTCGGCCCCCAGTTACAATGACATTGACGTATTAATTTCCGTGGATCTCAGTTCCCAGTCCTCGACTATTCAACGAGTAAAATCATCCGTCCTTGATGCCTTGATGCGATTTCTTCCTGAAGATCGAGGGAGTGTTTATTCAGCATCAGCATTTAAAAACGGCAACCTCTCTCATGGAACCCAGGGACAAAACATATCACCAACGGATGGATCAGAGACCGATAAAGAGACGAATTCTAATAGGTACTTTTCAACGGACTTCATTCCCACAACTGCCCCCAGTGGATCTCCTACACCGCGAGGAACAGAAGAGGAGCCGCAACAGAGTTTTGCATTTTCCCCCAACCCGATTTGCCAGCTGAATACCCCTTTAGCTTCTGTGAGCGATGGATACCTTCGTGAATCATATATCTACAAACAGTTCCGCAAATACAGTACACACGATGCAGATTGTTGGTCACTTTTATCGCTTGGAATGCCATCCAATGGTTCCAAGGTTGTCGAACTTAAGTTCGTTGATCGCATGCGCCGCCAATTTGAATTCACGGTCGATAGTTTCCAAATAAGTCTATCGCCAATTTTGTCATTTATTCGAATGTATCCCAACCAGCCGCTAACCCCAAACTTCGCGCCAACCGTTGTGGCAGAATCGGTTGCAGGATCTTTCTCGATGGCATTGTACCATCTCAAGAACAAGTTGATAATTACCAAGGAACCAGAAATGATCCGAGGTGGAGGGTTGCTGAAATACTGCCGACTGCTAGTTAACGGTTATCAAGCTCCGAACGGCATTGACGTAGGTTCCCTGGAACGATACATGAGTTCTCGTTTCTTCATTGATTTTCAAGATATTCAAAGTCAGAAAGCAAAGATTGAAGCATTTTTGACAAACCACTTTAAAGAGGATGAGGATGTGGAAAGGGTTAACTTCCTTCGGACTGTTCATCGAGTTGTCAGTGGTTCAACTATATGTCTCATGTCTTTTGAGCGTTACCAGACACTGCATTTGATTTGCCAGCTCATAGACCAATACGCTAAACAAAATCCGATCCCCAGCTCAGCACCAAGCTTGGACTGGTTCGCAAACCAGCAGAATCTGACAGTTGATACAATATTCTACGGGACACAGTATTTTCCCATTATTTCTTGCGGCAACTCACCCCGCTTTAGTTGCTGCCATTGGGAGCAAAAATCACCTCGACTTTGTTGTGAAGGCAATGAAGTAAGGTTCTCACTTGGACCGTCGAGCTCCTCATCTGATTCCGAATTTTCACCTAAGTATTCAGCCAAAGGAATACAAACTTCCGTGGACTGTCCTGTCGCTGAGACTTTTGTTTCAGTGGGAGATATTCAAAAGTCATGTTCCCCAACATAAACACCAAGTTCCAAAATTTGCTAACCAGAACTTCTATTCACCAGCTCTGATAGCGGTCAAATTTGCCGTTGGTTGCTGCACAATCAATCCAATCATCGTGCCAAATTCAATTTTGACAGACTCCCTACTGATCTTTAAAATATCCCCCCAAAACGCAACTAAAATCACCTGTTTTATTTTCTCCTTCAGTGTTAGAAACTCACACAATGCCAGTAATTCCGCCAGGAGTGAGTTTGTATTGCCACCACCGGTGAGGGGGGAAGCACAAATATCAGTTCGACTTGTTCATTTTTAGAGAACGCCGAAGAGAGGCTGCTTTAAGCGTTTCAAAGAGATTATCCGTCTTTCAGGAAATGTATATAAAAATGAACTCTTGAGCCGTATGGCATCGTTGGAGCGGGATACCCGAGAGCGTTATGACAATAGGCCTTCAAAAAGTCAGAGACAGATCCCGTAGATAAACAAAATAGTGTGAGCAATTGAATTTATTAGGCAGACTGTCCGGAATGCAACTGAAAAGAATGGATTGGATTCATGTTAATCGGAACTGGTTCCTGTGAGAGGTTTGAGTGCAACACGCAGATCTTCCTTCTCCGTGCGCATCGTGTACTTCCCTCTCATTTTGACGAATAAGACTATTCAA